ATTCATCTAAATGTTAATATTCCCTTTTGATCTCTGAATTAATAGTTATAGTGACAGACAGGGACTGTCTGTTTACATGGCTAGCAGCAAAGATACACACAATTAACATTACCTCTAACAATATAGGTTTGCATTTCAAAGTTCTAGACTATCTAGCCATAGAATGGCCCTAATTACCATTTCTAACATGTCATTAAAAGTCAGCTTTGGATTAGTTAGCCTGCAAGCTGTTTAACTCTTTCTGGCCATGAGTTATATTTTGTATAAGATTTGTTGCAATTATATGATTTGCATGGTTATATTTTAATTAGACAATGTCACATTGACATTAAAAGAATCAGATTAATATTCGCTCATACATTGTTACTTCCATTTCAATCTCTTCTGTATGTCTCTCTGTGGATAACTTTTGACAAAGGTCATACTTTTAAAAATCATAGGACTGGAAGGGACCTTGAGAGGTCATCTAGTCCAGTGCCCTGCACTCATGGCAGGACTAAATGTTATCTAGACCAGGGGTCGGCAACGTTCGGCCCCCACTCGCCGCGGTTCGCCGTCCCGGGCCAATGGGAGCGTCAGGAAGCAGCGCAGGCGAGCAATGTGCTGGCCGCGGCTTCTCGCCGCCCCCATTGGCCCGGGACGGCGAACCGCGGCCAGTGGGGGCCGCGATCGGCCGAACCTGCCGCATCAGCAGGTAAATAAACTGGTCCAGCCCGCCAGGGTGCTTACCCTGGTGAGCCGCATGCCGAACGTTGCCGACCCCTGATTTAGACCATTGCTGACAGGTATTTGTCTAACCTGCTCTTAAAAATCTCCGATGAACACTCCACAGCCTCCTGAGGCAATTTATTCCAGTGCTTAAACAACCTTACAGTTAGGAAGTTTTTCCTAATGTCTAACCTAAACTGCCCTTGCTGCAATTTAAGCCCGTTGCTACTTGTCCTATCGTGATATTAAGGAGAACAATCTTTCTCCCTCCTCTTTGTAACAACCTTTTATGTAGTTGAAGACATATCATGTCCCCTCTGTGTTCTCTAACAAAAAACAGAAGCCTCTTTGAATTCCTCTGCTTAGCTTGAACGCCTCATAACATAACTAAAAACATAACGTGCATTGTCTTATTCACCAAGCATCCTGGCCACAACAGACTTGTATATGTATCTTAATATTCAGAAAAAGTGAAAACAAGTTTGTAATTAATTTATATTGTAAGAATACTTTAATACCCATTTTTGTTTTGATATTGAAATATCTCCACCACAGACCCCTCCCTGGCCTCTCTGATCACATTCCCCTTGCCTGAAATTCTCCCACTCTTTGACTAGGTCTTGGGCATTTTGAATCAACCGTGATTCCTTAGTAGGTCTGACTGAGTTTGGCTCCTGCAGGTCTTTCCTTTGGGAGTTGTGACCAATGGGTAATACAATCACAGGTGCTGCCACCACGACCTCCTCATCCTTCTCTTCCTGCCAATAGTAAAAATGAGTGACCTGCTACACTGCACCTTCTCTGAGCTATGAGGAGCAGAAAGGGCTGAAGTGCTGGTTTGTAGCAAGCAGGGTCAGGGTTGCAGGAGAAGTTGGCTGCAGTTTAAGGCTGTAGGCTCTGTTTTTGAATGACTCTTCACCCCCTTCCTTTCTTCCTTGAAAACCCTGCTTTCGCCCCTTCTGCTTTCTCTTACCACACCCTTAACCTCTGATTCTTCAGCTGGCCACATAGTTTAATCATAGATCACTTACAATCATAGAAATATAGGGCTGGAAGGTACCTTGAGATGTCATGTAATTCACCCACCTATGCTGAGACAGGGCCAAGTAAACCAATACCATCCTTGACAGGTGTTTGTGTAACTTGTTCTTAAAAGCCTTCAATGACAGGGAATCTACAGCAGGGGTTCACAAACTGGGGGTCAGGACCCCTCAGGGGATCGTGAGGTTATTACATGGGGGGGTCACGAGCTGTCAGCCTCCACCTCAAACCCCGCCTTGCCTCCAGCATTTATGATCGTGTTAAATATAAAAAAGTGTTTTTAATTTATAAGGGGGGGGTCGCACTCAGAGGCTTTCTATGTGAAAGTGGTCACCAGTACAAAAGTTTGAGAACCGCTGATCTACAACCTTCCTTGGAAGCCTGTTCCAGTGCTAGACTACCCTTATAGTTTTTCCTAATAGCTAACCTAAATCTTCCTTGCTGCAGATTAAGTCCATTACTTCTTGTTCTCTCTTCAGTGGACATGCAAAACAATGGATCACTGTCCTATTTATAACAGTTGTTAACATTTTGGAAGACTTGGTTCCATGCTCCCCCCATCCTTTTTTTCTCAGAGCTAAACATACACAGTTATTTGAACCTATCCTCATAAGTCAGCTTCTCTAAACCTGTTATCATTTTTGTTGCTCTCCTCTGGACTCTCCAATTTGTCTACATCTTTTTAAAAATGTGGATCCCAAAATTGGACACATACTCTAGGCGAGATCTCACAAATACCGTGTCGAGGAGGAGAATGACCTCCCATGATTTAAATGCAACTCTTTTGTTAATACAACCCAGAATGATATTAGCCTCTTTCACGCTGCATTATATTGTTTCCTACCATAGTGATTTGACCCCTCAGATCTGAAACAGGACAACCATGATAGAGCCAATGAGAACTCTGATAGAAATGAGAAAACTACTACTTATTTGTATCCATACATACCAGAACACTTTACAGAGGAGGGTAGTAGGGCTGGTGGTCGAACAGTAGACTTACATTATAGGATCCAAATTCAGGACACAAGCTCAATTCCTTATTCCTAGGCATCAGGCTGGGAGTACTGAAGAAAGAGCATGTCACATTGCTGTGCTGTCACCTCTCTACCTCGCTGCAGCAACACTGATGAGCTCCTGATTGAACTTCACACAGCCCTTCATGGCAGAAAGATCAGTAATTGTGCTGGAACATTAGTGGGGTTAGCAAGGCACACAAAGAATGGGTGTAAGGAAGGATTTATGGGATAGTAAGACGCACCACAACTCTCACATGAGTTTTTCAAATTTCGTATAACCTTTAAGCAACTGTTCTTGTTATTTTTTTCTTTCAGAGATGTCTTGTGTGGAAGACTGCAGTGTGTTAATGTTAAAAAAATCCCTCAGATGACAAGTCTTGGGTCCATAGTTCAAACCCCAGTTGATGATATCTTGTGTTGGGGTACAGAATTTCATGCTGGGAGGGACATGGTGGACGTTGGCTCAGTGGGAGATGGCACTGCATGTGGTGAGAACAAGGTACTGTAGTAAGTATAGTTAGATTTGTGAATGGGGTGGAACAGAGATTAAATGGAGAGAGGGAGGCCTTGAACTCCTGTTCTCTGCTCCATGTTGCCTTCCATCCCCTTACCTGAAAAGCCTCAGAGATCGCTATAAGGACCACCTGTTCTCACCCACAAGCAGCTGCAGAAGCCCATCTTAACCCTTTAAAAGGAGCAGCAGATGTTCTAGTCCCTGTTTTGTGGAGAAATGGTAAGTAGGGGTCAGTATCATAGTTCTGGGGTTCACTGCACTTTTGAAAATTCCCCCGAAGGGCCTAAATACTGTAAAAATCTGACCCTAGATGTCTTCTTCCCTCCTGAAGTTGCTAAAATTTCTGAATTCATCTTCATTTGCTCAGTATATGCCAGAGCATGACTAAAAAGACCATACTCTCCAGGAATAATGTTTTTTTACAAAAACATTGATCTTGCAGCATGATCTGAATATAGTTAGACTTAGGTTAAGCCTTCTCTGCCTGGATATCTGTCTGGGTTTGAACTACAAATCTATATGCAAAATCCTTAAGTGTTAAAATAGTGGTTGAAACATTTGGGGTCTATTTATTCCAGCAATGTAAAGATACAACTGATGGGATGGCTAGGCCCCACGTATTCTTCCATTGGATAGGTATAGAGGAGTTTATCCACCTAATTAGCTGTTTATATGTACACTGTCACTGTATTTTTATTTTTGAGACCTGAGATTATCTGCACAATCCATTGTTCTAGGTGCATAGTACACACACTCTCAGATTAAGTAAGTAAACCCATTTATTCATGTCTAAATATTGGTGACAGACATCATAGGAGAATTTTCTGAAGCCTTCATGAGCCACTATACCTGTGTTTTTAAAAAATGCTTTTTAAAGTCTGCCTTAAAAATTGAAAAAAAGATCCAGGAAATTTAAAAATAACACCATTTCTCCTTCAAGTACTGACCCTGTGGGTGCTCCACTTCCAGTGCACGTGTGCCCCATGTGCCTTTGATCAGAGATTTTCAGTAGCAGTACTTGTTCAGCCCTCACATATGTGGCAGACATCCTCAGGGCCCATACTGAGGCTATATAGAGTTGTGCGAACAAACCACCTTTTTTGCCCTTTTCCAGTCTTCTGGAATGTCTCTTCTGGAATGATGCTTTACCAGAACCCACCAAGACCATCTGGCATACCTTGGCAACAGTACCACCTACATGTAAAGGCTCCAAAAAAGTATTAAATTTCAGCCGAAAAAATCTGAATTTTTATTTCTGCAGCCTTCACCCAACTCTTTGGTTGTCAAAGCCATCAATGAACCTGGCAGACAATACCAGATTAAATCTATACCATATGATCAGGAGCAAAAATGCCTGAACCTGTTTGGCCATAAGAGTTACTCATCTGCAGCCCTACAATTTTTAGGATTGTGAACCACTTAGATGTGATGGTGAAGTATAATCACACCAACTATATGGAGTTCAACAGCTTTGTTGAACACCTTGTGGAATATCCTGAACAGTTCCATGCTATCAAGCTGAGGGTCAGCTCTTAGTAAGAACTTCATTATAAGCCTTCTTCGATGCAGCTGACTCTGCAGCTCATTCCATTTCCACAGGGCCGTCCATAGCTATTTTGGTGCTCTATGCAACTCCCCCCCCCTCCCCGTGGGGGGGGCTGTGTGGGGCCCCAGGCCTCCACGGGGAGTGAGGGGCTAGCTTGAGGGTCAGGGGGGAAACCGCCCCCCAGCACGAGCCAGTGGAGCGGAGCGGGTTGGGGCTGGGTCGCTCCACTTCCTGCCATCCGGTGAGTGCAGGGCGGGCTCGACTCCACACTCACAGGGCGGTGAGAAGTGGAGTGACCCGGCCCCAGCCCGCTACGCTCTGCTCCCCCTGCTCCCAGCCTTGGGGCTCGGAGGGGAGAGGGAACCACCCCCCCAGCATTCACCGGTGGCACAGCTGAGAGCCAGGGGAGCAGAGCAGGCTGGGGCTGGGTCACTCCACTTACCGCCACCCGGTGAGTGCAGGCCCGACTTCTGCTGCAGTCCTCAGGGGAGTGGGGCTGGGGCGGAGCAGGGGTGGGGACGGAGCAGGGGTGGAGGCTTTGGGGAAGGGGTGGAAAGAGCAGGGGCTGGAGCAGCACCGCAGCTGTGTAGAACACCAGGAAATTTGGTGCCCCAAATTTCCTGATGCCCTGTGTGCTTTGCATATGGGTAGGGACAGCATTTCCATCACAGTTGTCCTGCATTGAGCACCAAAATACTGTAGAAGACCTTTCCTTTGAGACTGCAGAGGATGTGAGTGAGGTTCCCACACCTGGACATTCTTTTTAGATGACAAATCTGAGGAACTGTCCCGGACTGAGGTGTCAATAGAGGAGATTTTGGAACAAATTGATAAATTAAACAGTGTTAAGTCATCAGGACCAGATGGCATTCACCCAAGAGTTCTGAAGGAACTCAAAATGAAATTGTTATGTAACTTGTCATTTAAATCAGCTTATGTAACAGATGACTGGATGATAGCTAAACAAGACACCAACTTTTTTAAAAAGGCAATTACAGTCCAATAAGCCTAACTTAGGTACCTGGCAAACTGGTTGAAACTATAGTAAAGTACAGAATTATCAGACTCATAGATGAACACACGTTGTTGGGGAAGAGTCAAAATGACTTTTGTAAAGGGAAATCACACCCCACCAATCTAGAATAATTTTAAAGTCAGCAAACATATGGAAAAGGGTGATCCAGTGGATATGGTGTGTTTGGACTTTCAGTAAGCCTTTGACAAGATGCCTCACTAAACACACTTAAGCAAAGTAAGGAGTCATGGGGGTAAGAGGGAAGAGCCTCTCATGGATGAAAAACTGGTTAAAATGAAGGAATAAATGGTCAGTTTTCAGAATGGAGAGAGGTAAGTAGTAGTGTTCCTCAGGGATATGTTCTGGGACATATGTTCAACATATTCATAAATTATCTGTAAAAAGGAGTAAAGGGTGCAGTGAAGACAGATGCAGAAAATGCATTTAGCTTCTCTGCAATGGCCTTATCTTTCTTGAGTGCTCTTTTATACCTCGATGGTCCTGTGGCCCCACTGACTGTTTGGTAGGTTCCTGCTTCTGATGTAGTTTTTTGTTGTTGTTGTTGTTATATAGTATTTTGACTCTTTTGCTAGTTGCTCTTCAAATTCTTTTCTGGCCTGCCTAATTACACTTTGTACTGTCCTGCCACAGTTTATACTCCTCTATATTTTGTTCAACAGGATTTGACTTCCAGTTTTTAAAGGATGCCTTTTAGCCTCAAACTACCTCTTTTATGCTCTTGTTTGTAGCCATGGTGGCATTTTTTGATCCTCTATTTTTTTGTTGTTGTTAATTTGGGGTATGCATTTAATTTGAGCCTCTATTCTAGTGTTTTTAGAAAGTTTCCATGCAGTTTGCAGGCATTTCACTCTTGTGACTATTCCTTTTAATTTCCATTTAACTAGCTTCCTTGTTTTTCTGTAGTTCCCCTTTTTGAAGTTAAGTACTATGGATGTTACATTTAATTACATTATGCTCGCTATTTACAAGCATTTCAGCTATAATCACCTCTTGGACCAGATCTTGTGTGCCACTTAGGACTATATCAAGAATTATTGTATAGCCTCTATAATCTCTGGGAGCATTTCACAATCATCATCACCATCCTGGTCAGGCAGTCGGTAGTATATTCCTACTGCTGTACTTTTATTATTCAAGCATGCTGCTCTAGAATCATGTAAATTCAAGCATCCTCAGGGACACTACTGAAAGGAGAGGTTACTACTGTGCAGTAACTGCAGTTTTCAGATGTGTTTCCCTATGGGTGCTCCATTATCCTCTTTCCTTCCACTTTGCTTCAGAGTTTCATATTGTGAAACTTCATGGTAGAAAAGGAACAGGGCAGTTCACCAGCACAGCTCTATGTATCCTGGGTACAGGGCATGAGGAAGTCTGGAGCGCATGAGTGGGTCGACTGGGTACTGCTACCGAATATGTCCAATTAAAGGTGCATGGGTGTGTGAACAACTAACATGGAGTACCCATAGGGATGCAACTCTTGAAGAACTGCAGTTACTGCACAAGTTGGGTGACCTTCCCTGTACAGCTTCTTTAACTTCTGAACTGGTAACTTTTCTCCCTAACAGCATTAAAGAAAATCTGTATTTTGATGCTGGACCCACCCTTTTTCCTCTCGTCTCAGTTTACCACCATCATCCTAGGAATTTCAGGTTGATGCCCCATCTGACCCAGTAGCTACTCACCTCCTTGCTCTCACCTCCCCACATGATCTTCAACCGTGGATTAATTTATAAAGAACAAATCTTAATCCTAGATGTCCATTTGATATTCAAGAGATTCTCTTTTGTGCAGCTGCTCATTGGGAATCTCCCCAGCAGGAATTTTCCTTAATCCTGCAAAAGGCATAGGATATAAATGACAGACTAGTTGTCTATTGAATAATGCTGGAAATGCTGACCAAAAATAATTAAATCTGATGAGGTGACAGGGCAAGAGGTGAAGATAAGAAATTTAAATGCAATGCAATGAATAAAGGGAAACCAGTAGAGGAGTACAAAGGAGGGGGAGAAAATTCAGCTAGGATGATAATTTTGAATAGATGGGGAGCAATGTGGAGATGCTAAAAAAAAAAGGATGCTGCAGTAGTCAAGAGGCTATAGATGACTTTTAGCTGTTACCACATATAGCAGTTCCTTAAAACTCAATTCCTACATTCATCCAGCATTATTCTCTTGACTGGCAGCTGATGCCTGTTTCAAGAAAGCAGTACTGCAAGGCTTTACACTAAAAATACTTAAAGGAGAAATGCTATTGGTCAGAAACTGACTCTTTGAGTAGATTGTTCAGATAGATCCATCCTCCCCACTTCTTCAGAGTCTCTGATATGGATTCTGAAGAAGTGGAGGGAACTCTGTTCTGCAAATGAGCACATGCATGGCCTTAATGCTTCTTGCTTTCTAGAGGGCTTTCATTGTGGTGCCACCATCATATGTACCCTCAAGTGTGTAATTCTGTGTTAAGAAACCCTGAACAAAAACAGTTATTCACCATTAACCTTTCTTTTTGACTTGTAGCATGGATTCCACATTTAATAACCAGTCAGAACATAGGCTTTGC